AGGCGGGAATGCGGCGAGGGTGGTAGGGATCCAAATACAGAAGTACAGGGAGCCGAATAGAAGCGATATTAAGATGAGCAAGAGCCCAAAACTGCGCTGGTCAACAGCTTACTGGTAAAAATGGAATTGCTTCGATCAACGAAGACTTAGCGGAAGAAGGGACTCGGAGAAGGGCTAGAAGTGAATGGCAGAAGGAGAATAGATGCGGCGCGAGCGCGATGGTCAGAGGATATATCATGCGTAGACGCCTACTCGTCGAGTGCCTCTGTGCTAGCGTTACTGTGGCATTCGTCCGAGCTACACTGCCAGTTGGCTGTCCACTCGCATAGAGAGCCGAGTCTAGGTGGAGAGGCGGTAGCGGCTCAAGGACGGCCACGACATGGCGAAGACGACGGTCATGTCATGATTGGCCAACGCAAGTTTATGGCCAGCAAGGCCTCTACCCTGCGCTAGAAACTTTGGGCTAGAGAAACGTTGCGCTGCATGGCGTGGTTGGGTGTTTGGTATGTAAGCGCCGGGCTGTGCTATTTGCAGTGCTCGCGTTCTGCATGCGTGGCCAATGACAAGACGCAGCGGCGTTGTACTGCATACTCGCCCAATAGTGCCTCGTCGAAATCGATTTTTGTTGCGGGGCTAGATATTGTCTCACGGCCTTGGACCGTACGCGAGGCTGTGGTTGTGGCTGATCGAAAGGCTGTCATGTAGTCATCCCGCGCCATATGAGATGGAAAGACACGGCCGTAGTGCCGGAGCTCGTTGCGGCCGTGCAGCGAGTACAGACCCGCGACCCGCGATGCGGTTGTCGATCAGTCAGGCACAACAATAGCGCAGGTTTCATTCATTTTAAAGCATGGACGGCCCCATGTGGGAAACGCTGTTGATTCGAAACGTGCAGTGGTGAGTTGGGAGGTTTGCATGAACAAGAACAGAGGTGAGGCATGCCAAGCAGCAGCGGGGCATGGGTGGAGGGGCAGGCGTGACGCTGTTGATGCCGTCAACACCAAAAAGCTATCGTGAGCTCCGTCACACTAGCAATCTCCACATCCACCCAATACCTACCATTGGCGCTCCACCAAGTCACCTATACACACCGCACTCTCACTAGAACCGCCTGTCATGTCACCGCCTGCCATCATCGCGCCGTCGATTCTTTCGGCAGACTTCGGAGCGTTGGGCAAGGCATGTTCCGACACAATCTCCCAAGGCGCCGACTGGCTTCACGTACGCGAGAGTGAGTTTCGGACTCTGGTGCATGCAACTGACACGTGCAGGTCGACATCATGGACGGCCATTTCGTGCCCAACATGACCTTTGGCGCGCCCGTTGTAACCAAGATCCGCTCACACGTCGATCGACCGACGACCGCACATGGCAAGGGAACGTTTGACTGCCACATGATGATTGCCGAGCCCAAGAGATGGGTGCGCGACTTCAAAAAGGCTGGCTGCGACCTGTACTGCTTCCACTACGAAGCCGCCGTCTCGTCAACCGCTGCAGACTCGCCCAGTGGCGAGTCGGACCAGAAGACATCCCCCAAAGAGCTGGTAAAGTTCATCCATAGCGAGGGCATGCAGGCCGGCATTGCCATCAAGCCAAGCACACCGGTCGACGTACTGTGGGAGATACCAGAGAACCCAAACAAGGACGAGGTTCCTGATGTGAGTTCATCACCCCTGCACCGTCATGCTTTCATCACCACAATCGATATCACCAAAGGGCCGCACGCGCTATATGGTGGTTAGAGAGGCCTCGGAAGTGGTCGAGCAAAGCGAGGCTGGGTAGGGCTGACCTTGTTGGGGCGTGGGCGGCACCCAGTGGCGGCGCTTAGGCATGCCAACTTCCGCAACGCCCGCTGTCAATCAGTCCTGACCTTGGCGCCCTTTCGAGAAGCCTGCCCCCATGTTGCCCAACCGACTGTCCGTCCATTGGCCACCTGACCATCCGGCCGTCCCCAAGGTTGCACGTCGGCACCTACCCGCCCACGCCGCTGGCTGCTCCCGCAGGGTCAATAACCTCGATATTCAAGACTTGCATCGGCTAGGTCACATGCGTTGAAAGTCCAGTGCTAACTTTTGCAGATGGTTTTAGTTATGACTGTAGAACCTGGCTTCGGTGGACAGTCTTTCATGGCATCCGAGCTGCCCAAGGTAACCGCCCTTCGCCAAAAGTACCCAGAGATGCACATCGAGGTCGACGGAGGCCTGAGCGAAAAGACTATCGATCAAGCCGCTGATGCCGGCGCTAATGTCATTGTTGCTGGCAGTGCTGTTTTCGGTGCTTCAGACCCTGGCGACGTGATCAAGAAGCTCAGGGAGGCAGTCGATGGCAGGAGAGGAAAACTATAGAAATGCCAATGATCCAGACCAATGGTAAATGCTGACGATGAATGTGGATGAGCGTATGTACAAATAGAAGTATTAGAAGCTTACGATATAGGTGTAGAAAAAATAGACGACAGCTGAGAGCGGGAAATGGATACTCATCTGGCGCGAAATGCCGAGTGAACAAGCGGTGTTCAGCCATATCGAGTGGAAGTTCGCATCATATCTGCACAACTGCTGACATGCGTCGTCGCGATGTTACACAACATACCGGCTAAGTTCTACGCCCAAAACCAACTCCTAGCTCGTACATGGCTTAATGTCCACAAAGGTAGATGATTCGGCAGATGGCACTGACAAGGCTGGCCTTTTTTTCACCACATGATATCCTGGTGAGAGTCAATACTGTAGGTTCTGATGTCTGAGTTCTGCTGCTAGCCATGCTAATTCTGACAAGGCGCAGCTCCCATCGCACAACGACCAGTAGCGCCGTGATCACTTGAATTATTGCTGTCGATGAAGATGAAAAATCGAGAACAACGTCACTTGGCCAAAATTGATTTTCGTCTCCTTTGCGTTGCTTGCCTTGAAGCTGCCACTCAAAAATGACAGCACGAGCCGCGTCATCAACCAGGTCTTGGCATTGTATCGAAACATGCTCCGCTAGAACGTTCTTCCGTCGCTATCGCGATATGGAGATGAAGTGCGGCTACGAGACAGCGGAAGTCATGTTTCAAACAAACAAGTCCATGGTACAGAACGTACCATGGCGGTCATTATGGGTCCCAGGGACCCATGCATCGCAAATACTAAGTTAAGCTTGAGCAGACAAGCCCCAGAGATTGAAAATCCCCGGCTTGTCGTGGACTACACACCATTGTTTGAATAGCACGGTACTCGTCTTGGGCCGGACTAAATTTGTGACCAAACAAATCATCCCAGCTGAGCAATGGGGCTTCTATGTGTGCTGATCTGCTCATGTTGCGTTCATCGAATGAAACGAACAATAGCTGGTAAGATGGACAGTCGTCATCTAGTGCGAACACCGCCTAATGCTAAAAGTCAATGTTGAGCTATGGTACGTAAGCTCACGGGTCATTCCGCGTTTCACGTTGTCTAGGCCGCGCCATGGAACCAAACCACAGCGCTCACGAAGTGACATCCCTAGTCCACAAACGAACTAAACTGATTGACGGTTCTCCCTCAGATAACCCACTGTGAGAAGATCTTGAGCCAGGAGTCAAATGGCAGGCGTCAAGTAAATGACAGCCCCCTTGACCTCGCAGCCACATACGCGGCTTAGGGTAATTCTGGACCAGAAGCATCTCAACGCTGCGTCATGGTATCCGAGCCGTGTCATGTTGTTGAAGTTCAGAGAGGAGCAACTTCAGTATAAAGATGTCCTGCGCTGCTTTTCTCATCAACCACCCAGCAACTTTCGTTCTCACTACTCGCACTTTTCTCTTCCCAGCTTCGTTTTAACAGCACTGTGTGCTTCCATTCACTTTACACTCATTAGCACCGCGTGCCTTCACTTCAACAAGCAGTACACCAACACCACTACAGAATCCATCTTGCAATATACAAAGTTTTCAAGATGGTCGCATTCTCCCGTCTCGCTTTCGCACTTGCCGTCACCGGTTTCAGCTGCGCTCAATCTTTCAACGGCGAACTCCCTAGCAACCTCCCCTCCGGCATGCCTCCTATGGGAACTGGAATGCCTTCTGGAGCTCTCCCCAGTGGTGCCGCTCAGCCATCCGACCACATGCATGGTGGACATGGCCATCGTGGACCTCGTCCCAGCGGTGTAGCTCAAGCTCAACACGCACATGATAGCGGAGTTCCTTTTGGTACTGGTATGCCTTCCGGCTTCCCGAGCGGTATGGCTCGCCCTACTGGCGGTATGCATGGCGGCCACGGCGGCCACGGTGGACATGGTAGCAAGTTGCCCGAGCCAACTGGATCCTTCTTCGCCGTTCCTACTGGCGTAGAGAAGCGTCAAAAGTCCGGAGAGCCCTCTGATATACCCTCTGATTCTAAGCCTCCCCATGGTCCTCATTCCCGTCCTACTGGCATACCTTCCGGCGCCATGCCTCCTCATGGTGCTCGTCCTACAGGCGCCCGTCCTTCTGGAATGTCTCGTGGACCTCGTCCTTCTGGAGCTATGCCAACGTATGCTCCTCGCCCATCCGGAACTCCCACTGGTCCCGCTCCTAGCGGTTTCTCTACCTCGATCGTTCGTGCGTGAGCGAGTCCAAAGAGGGGAATATATCTGTGGGGCGATTCGACAGAGGATCGAGGCGCGCGCCGCGACAAAGTGAGGTGGTCAGTGTTGTCTTGTGGTCTGCTGTGGTTTCATTAAATCTTCTTGTTTAGTTTTTACGCTCGTTTACCTGTACATACATCACAAATAGAACGAACTTGTACAATTTGGTCTGGCTTTCGTTCTCTATGCTAGACAAGCCAGAAATCTGAGAGCTGAAGACACGCAACCTGCACATTGCTTCGACTAGTTTCCATCAATCAGAAATCGCATTGATGTTAGGGAAACCTTGTTAAAACGCCCGTTTCTGATATTAATTCCCCAAATCGCCCATGTCACTCAATAGTGCCAGTAGTAGGTACAAGACTACGGTCCAACATCAAATCTGACACCGATCCCCAAACTAACATCCACGATCAGTGTGATACAGAGGACTGGCCAGGTAGGGTTGTGTCGTATTCGCCTGGTAGGAGTTTGTAGGCGCGCCTCTCCTCACGTTCATCTGCAGAGTCGATTTCTTCTTCTGATTGGTACTCATATTCATCAGATCCCGAATCTGATTCTTCTTCGACCTCAGTGTATGTTCTTAAGCGTCTGAGTGATTTTGGACTGGGCGCCCTCCTCGATTCGCGTATTCGGTCAGCATGCTCCCTAAACTCCTGATAACGACTATTACGCTCCATTATTTGTGCGCTAGTGATTCCAGCCAGAGAAATACTGCTCGTGGGTTGTGTACGACGTGCTAGCTGGGTATTCAGAGGCGCAGCAAGCATCTGTCGACTTTGTTGTTCCTCAAGTTCTCTCTCGTCCTCATCTGTTGAGTCGTCGTAATCATTGAATTCAACCAGCGCTTCGTCACTGCTGTAGAAGGCATTGTCGAATGAATGGAAGTCCTCTTGTTCAAACAGCTCGTGTCGGCAGAGCGGGCACCGGTTGTTGTTTGGCATCCTACTTTCCGTTTGTTCGACGATGCAGTGGCCGCCGAATATGTGGCTGCATGGAAGCTCGACCGGTACATGACTGGCAAAGGCTCTGTCAGTATACTACAGTGGTGAAGACAGGCAACTTTGAAAGTGTTTCTTACTCGCTGTTGTAATCCTCGAGACAGATGCTGCATCTGATCGGATGCAGTTTTTCGATGAATTTGTTCTTGGTTACTATTATGGAGGCCGAAGTAGAGTGACCTGGAGACCGTTGCGTGTTTGGTATCTCATTGGGGTGGGGTGAGCTCTGGATTCGAGCAAGCCCCAAGGGTCTCGGGTAAGGTCTCATAATGTGGGCAAAAGGTAGAGTATAAAGGTGCGCGGAGTGGAAATTTATTGTTTCGCCTTCAATAGCTAAGTATCTGAGACATGATTCGACCTGCCATTCACTTCACCAATCACTCTACTTGTGCTCAACGGCCGTTAGGAATTGCCGCAGCTTGTTCACTTCACTGCCATTTTCACCGTCACAGCTCACTTCTATATCCTCGAGTGATTACTTTGTGATATTATGCGTTGGAATAAATGTAAACTCGAGCATGATCCCCATGTCTAAGACAAGGTACATGTCGTCGTCTTCAGGGCCTGATGTTCAGATAGTGGTAGGTGCCAAGACGGGATACATGAAGGTCTCTACGAATCGTACTAAAAGCTGCTGGAGAGAGGATATCGTGGCAAACGAGGAGAAGATATGGTAAACATTAAAGAATACTTGTGTCTTGGGATTCGAAAGTAGATGATGAAGCAGGGAGATGACATGTGACGAAACTTAAGCTTTCCATGGGCCTTCGCTAGCGCGTATCCATGCGGCGGATCTCCGAACATTTTCCTGAGCTTCTCTACACAACAACTTCGCGCTCACCAAACCGTCTCACGCAGGTCGCATGAGCTTTGAGATGGCGAAACGAAAGCGCGGCGATCGCGACGAGCGACCTCCTGCCGATGTTGGCCTCGGTGCGACATTGGCGCACATGCGCGGCGAAGCGCAACCCGACGATGCGACCACAACCCCAGCTAATGGTGACGAAGAGGGCTGGACAGTAGTCGGCGGAACGAAGAGGAGACGGAAGGAACGCGGCCCACATGACGACCAGAACAGGCATCGCGCCTCGAACTCGCCTCCATCACCTCGCAGTCCTGACCGTTCACAGCACACGAACGGGCAAGGCAAGCGGAAGGAGTCATCTCCACCACCGCAACAAGATGCTACTCTCGACAACCCGTTTGCGGGCAAAGGCGCGCAGCTGGGGACTCGAGCTTCTCCTACCGATAACCCCTTTGTCACATACAAAGCTGGCTCTGAACAGTCAAGTGAGAACATGACGAGAGAGGAACGTAGGAAAGAGCGCAAGCTGCAAAGGAGCTATCCGGCCATTGAGCACTCACATCATGCCCGTCTCAATTCGCACGTGAAGATTACAGACTTGCAGTCCTTGGTGCTCTACCTGCTTGCGGATGGTAATGCGCCGCAGTGGGTTTCTGTACGCAGCCGTGCAAATATCCAACAGGTCGTAATGCTCATGGTTCCGGGATTGGACCTGGGCATGTTCAACGGCGATGTTGCTTTGGATACTGCACCACTGCCTGAAACTTCTGCCGCAGCGTCAACAACCGAAACGGATGCAAAGCCCAAACGGCTGAACATTTCGCGTGATGACTTCTATCCGGCTAGTCTCAAGACGGACAAATTACCTGCATCACTGAAGCCTCTCGCTGACATCTTTGAGCATGTGTGGCCTATCAAGGCGATAGGAGAGCATCGCAACAACCAATACATGAGGGTGCATTCACCTATTCATACCATGCTAACCTCACAAATCCCTAAGACTCAAGAAGAGAAGCAGATGAAGAAGACTGGGAACCACAAAGGTCCCACGCCGCAGAATTCAAAGCATTGGGAGAACAAGCGCACTCGCATTACCGAGTTCGTCGCCTCCCTCATGGAACAGCAAGAAAACGAATACGTACTGCATCCAGCTATGTTCACAACCTCAGAATCCAAAGAGGCCAACTACGAAAGAAGGAAACTGGCCCATCAGACTGCCGCTGATGGTTGGGTCGATACTAGGGTCGCCACTTTAGAGGAAGGTGATGTGCCCGAGAGGGACATTGAACAAGGGAGCCTGACCGCTGGAAGACACATCATATCCGTCGACTGTGAGATGTGCAAAGCTGAGAATGACCAGCTTGTACTCACACGCATCAGTTTATTGAACTGGGACGGCAGCACGGCTCTCGACAAGCTTGTCAAGCCAGATGTCACCATTAAGGATTACCTGACCCAGTGGTCTGGTATTACAGCAGCCATGCTCCAAGATGTCACAACCACTCTAGCGGACATCCAGAAGGAGCTATTGGAACTGATCACACCGCGTACGATTCTCGTGGGACACTCGCTAAATTCCGACCTCAACGCACTCAAACTGACCCATCCCTTTATCATCGACACAGGCATCCTGTACCCGCATCCCCGTGGACCACCATACAAGCAGTCGCTGAAGTGGCTCGCGCAAAAATATCTCAAACGCGAGGTTCAGAAGGGATCATCAGGCCACGACAGTGTAGAAGATGCTCGGACATGTCTCGATCTAGTCAAACAAAAGTGTGAAAAGGGCCCGCGCTGGGGATCGGGCGACACAAACGCGGAGTCCATTTTCAAGAGGATGGATCGTTCTTTGCGACCGAAATCCAACGACGCACATCGTGCCGGAGCTGTCATCGACTGGGGGGATCCGAACAGAGGTCATGGTGGTCAAGCTCAAGTTTCTATAGGCTGCAAGACGGATGCAGAAGTAGTAGAAGCTATTGATCGTACATTAAAAGGTCAAGCTGAAGGCAAGGATGGTACTACAGACAAGATTGACTTTGTCTGGGGACGCCTGCGCGAACTAGAGCTCGCAAGGGGTTGGTGGGACGACGCGAAGACAGCCGACGTTGAGCTCATCCGACAAAAAGCTTTGCAACGACTGGGTCTTCTGAAGGATGGTGAAGACGTAGACGTGGAAGTTCGTGGATCTGAGCTCGGCGATGCCGTCTCCAAGACCATTGAGCGCATTGGGCAGATATACGACGCTTTGCCACGCTGCACGGCCTTTATTGTGTACAGTGGGACAGGCGATCCTCGAGAGATTCGTCGCTTGCAAGCAATGCAACAGCAGTATCGTCGCGAATACGCTACCAAGAATTGGGACAACCTTAGTGTCAAATGGACGGATACGGAGGTGCAGGCTCTTTCGAGAGCCTGTCAAGAGGCTCGCAACGGCGTGGGATTTATCGTTGTCAAGTAAAGCAAGAAGATTAATGCATCGCACATGCGCGTACGACGTGCAACGCAGCGTGTCGTAGTACACAGTGTTCAGGCGCGTATCGCTTAACGGATACCTTCAGACAGTGTGGCGTGTAATGCGATCATCAAAATGCACGGTTTTAGAGGTTGAGCACTTTCTAGAACATGCATTGTGTTTTGCAATTATCGGTAGAAAGCATTAGAGGCGGATTACTATCGTGCCAAGGGCGTAGGTACTGCATGACATCAATCAACATCCCTGTCTGCGCTCCCCTTGCTTGAAGTTAAATTAGCGCAAAGCTTTTCGCCGCCTCCCATCGGGGCGAAGACTGCGGAAATTCAACTCTATAAAAGTATAATCCATTTCAGCCTGCAGGTAATAATGGCTGCCTCGACGTGTACTTGTTTCGGGCGGCGATCATTCCGGTATCATGGCAGCTACCGTACCATTTAGGACAATACCGCTGACGAAGCCATGGACCGCAGTCAGGACAAATAGTCTAGCCAGACATAGTCGCGCATGTAAACATGGGCGCCCATATAGCCCCGGATACTGTATTATCCTCAACTTACCTAGGCATTTATGCTTATTGGCCCATGCCGTGGATCGGACTTGGCACTTGTAATCGTCGCAATTAGATAGCAATAAAGATAGCCGGCGCGTGGTCCGGGATGAGTAAACTGCCCCATCGATGATACCTACCAATGATTGACATGCAGTAACACAAGCCCATGCCTGTACAAGTCGGCACATGCGTGCATTGGACAGTGAGTAATTACTCATATCCGTCGACAACAGGAAATCACAGCTGGAAAGCTCAGGACTGCACTCGCACGAGATGGAACAGCTAGCGTGTTGAGCTTGCGACACGAGACGGCTTCAGGGCTTTTTCGCAATAGAGCCATCTAAATTGATAGCGAGGCACGCTAACTCCACTCGGACTCATGCATGGCTAATCATGGAATAACTCCTGCTAATTATTTCACTTGCCCTTTCCTTCCTCTGAACTAGGTCTCGACTTTCAGGGTTCCTCCTCCGCCGCAACCGCCTCTTTTTTGTTGGGTCATACCATTCTCTTCCTCTTCGCTTCCAATCTCACTGCGCTTGCTGAAACGGTATCCTGGATTGGGACGCGTATATTTGTCGCGTACCAGAAAACCGATAGTCCTGCTTACCTGGGTACACATTCCATCGCCAAACTTTTAGTTGTTGCTATCTAGACTCTTCGTGCAGCATCTCCGCTCACTTGCAGTTCTCCGCAAGGCACAACTGGATCAATGGGCTGTGTCCATGGCGGGCTCCAGGCGATCCGGCACTGGTGAGGTGAATCCAGACAGGGGAACACATGAACTCCAATCATCCATGGCTCAGCCGCTGGCAGTTGAGGTTGCGGAAAGTGCTGATGAAGCATCTCCACGTTCGCGGCCAGTCAATCGTGCGACCAAAGCATTCTGTAAGAATTGCAAGAACAACGTAGGAGACTTTTACAACTCCTGGTACAAGGTCACCGGTAGCTACTACGTCCCTGCGCTTCTGGGCTCTTACAGTTCTACCTTGCAACCCATGGGCAAATTAAAAGCGGCGTCAAAGGACACCGAATTAGCAGGATGGTAAGCTCAATCCAATCCTCACGTCGGTCCTCTCTTCGCATCTGTTTGCCGCATCTTTCCCTCATATACCCTTGACCGGCTATCAACAAACTCTTAACACATGAGTGGGCTTATCCCGGCTGCAACGGGTTACACGGTATTTTAAGTTTCTACCTTTAAGCGTACCCACGCTAGTCGTACCAAATCTTTTCACACTATAGATTAACATCTATCAAACCGGTCCGCCCGCATTCTACATCCCGCACTCCGTATTATTGTTCCTTCGAGCTCCCCAAGGCTTCTGGACTGACTTCGTACCAGTACCATTCAGCCTTTGTCTTGTCCCCACTCTAGTTGTCACAAGATAGCCATCGGGTTTACTGTTATCACTGCACCGGCAGGAAAGGGATCTTTTCGGTAAGTGACATCACCCATAGATGTTGCAAGTTTCCGCATGTTCTTGCATACTTATTCCCAATTTTCATGGTGAAAGTCATCGGCATTCATTAGCATGATGGCTGACATGCGATTCGTTACAGTGGACGAGACTTCTTCAAGCTGGGTCGCATCGAATTGCGATGCGAAATAGCAACAAATCAATTCATTGTGGTCGAACCTGAGATCGACACCTCATCGGATTTGTTAGCGAATGAAGATACACCCAGTCCGTCCTCGTCGGTTGCAACACCAAACGCATTGTCGGCTGAGGCCATGGAGATCGATTCGCGTGCACCATCTGTGGAGCATGCAGATCAATTTCGCGGTCGGTACGAGCAATCTCAGGATCGTGACATATTACAACAGAAACCGTTGCAGCCTATCGAAGGCAGCAGGCAGTCAGTAATAGCACCACCGTCTAGGCACTCCCCTTCGATACGAGATTCTCCATACGTCGTGACGAAAGATATGACAAAAGGTTCACTGCAGTCGTCTTCATCCTATCATCAAGGGGCTCATGGGTCTCGTAGAGGACCTGACGTTGACTCAACGAGCGGTCAGTTTGGAGCTCCAACACTGACCCCTCAAGACCGGTCTACTACAGAAAAGCCTCAAACAAACGGCCATCAGTACCCTCGTTTACCACAGGATGTCGGTATAGACGCTATGGCGCGTCTACAGACGCAGATGTCTCAAAATAGTGGTGCCTTAGCTGCGCACACTCGCGACATAAGAATCGGCCAGGAGGCGGTTGGAGCAATGGAAGAAACAATCAGAGAATTTCAGGCCAAGTTCATTCGACAAAGTGCCGATATCCAAAGAATCGAGATGCTGGCTACGAGGCTCCAGAGCGAGATGCAGGGCATCCGCCATACGATGGAATCCATTAACCATGAGTTACAGGCAAGTCGGATGCAGAGACAGTCAGCTAACTCGGCTGTGCCTCCTGCGGCCCCATCTTTTGCGGCTCAAAGTTCAGCAATGGAGCTTCTCGCGCGGCAGTTGAATGAAGTGTCGCATAAGACGAGTGACCTAGACAACTTGAAGCTCCATATCGAAATCATGAAGGATAAAATCTATCGACTCGAAGAGCGCGCCGCACCCGAGCCTTCACAAGCACCGCCGTTTATGTATCAGACGCCACAAGTATCAGTGGCGCAGCCTTCGCAACTTGCTCCTACCACCGCTACATCACACCAAAGCACACCAACATTGACGCTGAGTAACAGAGCATCTCAGCCCGTATCCAATGGTCAGTCTCAGCAGTCTTCATTCGGAGCTCCTTCGACAACGGCTGCCACACCGGGTGTTCAGCCTACAAGTAGCCAGGCTAGTGGATGGGCTACTGTTAATGCAGGTGTGAAACGGACCCATCAGAATGGCGTTGAGACTCCGCAGGGAGGCAATGTTCATGCGCCCGAACCTACCAAAAGGCAGAGATTAGTGGACGATAGTACTTCGGGCTACACATCTTCACAGCAAACGCCTATGACAGATCATCGCCTCCAAACACCTGCACATATAATACCGTCTCAGCAAACTGCTCCCGAATCAACGCATGGATCGCAATCGCAACAATCATACCACGTCCCACACGCCACACAAGATGGTCCTTCGGACGCCAGTTGGCAACCCGAGTCTCAGCGCACGATCGAGCATCGACCGCGTGGGCGTCCACGTGGTAGCGGAGGTCCTGGAAGCCGGGGCGGTAGAGGTAGAAAGAGCATGCCAGCCCAGCTCCACAGTACACTCGGAACACCTGAATGGGAAAGGGATGATTGGCAAGGTGTTCCGGATTCGCAGACCGGTCCAGCTGGATACTACAACCACGTAGGGCAACCAGGACGTGGAGGCATTGCACGCCGCGGTAGTGGTGGCGGTGGTGGTCGTGGCGGCTACGCAACCAGCGACCGTGCTAGCAGTCTAGGTCTACAAGGTGTGACGGGCGCTATGAGCTTTGGATCACCCGGCGACCCATATGGGTCGGGAAAGAAGACGCGCACCAAACCCATTAGGAACGCAGATGGCGTGTTGATACGTAAAGATGGCCGGCCAGATATGCGTTCGCAATCTTCTGCGGCTAATCTCCGCAAAGTACACGAGCGCAAAGACGGTCAAGCAAGTCACTCACCTACAGGCTCGAGCTTCACGCCTACCAACCCCCAATACGCGATTTCGGCACAGGCGCCAGACACACCAAGCCCAAGTGGCTACGCTGCCGACCCAAGCGCGACCGATAAACACAACGCCATAATGGGTAAGATGTTTCCTGATGGTATCGACGCAGCACGAAGGAAACAAGACTATACACGTCAAGTTTTTGAAGAGAATCGCGATCATACCGCGCATCCACGATCACGGAACAGTGGCCCGGCAACGAGGACGGCGGTTCAGATTAAGAAGGAGCAAGTTGACCGGAACAGAATTTCTAGGACGCGAAGTCCGCAAGAGCAAGACGCAGACGTAGATATGGATGGAGCTGAGGATCATGCGGATGATGAGCGTCAGACATCTGATGAGAGTAGCAGTCGTGTCAGAGGTGGTGCGCAGTCGGCAGTTCAGACTCAGGATACGACTATGCAGGAGAATAGTAGCACCCGAGCTCCTTCACAGACTGTTCTAGAGACGCAGGCCGTCGATAGCTCGGTTACGATTGGAGCGGGGTCTACCCAGACTCAGTAGCGAGATGGGACCGTGATAAAGGTTGGAGCCATAAATTTTATTTCTTTGGCATTGTATCTTAATCATTGGCTCACCAGTAGCATTCCCTCACCCAAAGAAGCTTCTTTTACAATACCTGATCAGTTCCGGTACGGAGACACCCATGCCTCTAGCCAGCGTCACGTCGCAGACATTGATCTCATCTATGTGCATATATACGAGACTAACTGCCGATTCTCATACATATCGTAAAGGCGAATCCCAAACTTGAATCGACGTGCTAGTGAGATTGTCTCTAATTACATATTTTTGGATAATCGCTAGAATACATTTTTTAACACTGTACGTGTTCTTAGAACGGAACTGCAGGAGCCTTCTCTGACCCGTTAGTCCTCTCCGGGTAGTGAATTGCGCCTTCTGTGGTAGCGCAGTTGGTGAGGTAGCTAGCGGAAGCATTAACAGGAATAGCGTTGCCTTCCTGGGGGCGACCATAGACCTGTTCGTACATTAGCACCGATTGCAAATCGACGGATACTTGTTCAATGGAATACTTACATGCTCGTAGTACCAAACCTCGCTCAGGATAGTGTAACCCCTGTCAGTCGTGTTCTTTCCAGCCTCTGTCGCATTGTACCTAGGACCAGAGCAACCCAAGAAGGGAATGCCGCCATGCTGCTCATGCAGCACGTCGACGAGATCGGAGTAAGAGTAGGTGGTTGAGTTTGAGGGTGTGATATCCTTGGCGGCAAGCCAATCGAAAGTCGGGAACCTCTTGTAGTACTTGATAGCCGTCTCGAAAAAGTCAACAACATCTTCGTGCTCGCGGTACTGCGGACCGTAGCAGGGAACGTTGAAGGTAGAAAAGCAGGTTGCGTGCTTGGAGAACTCGTGGCCCCAGAAACCTGGATTGTCTTGCTGCCATGCGATCCAGTAAGTGTTCATGTATTCGAGTAGGTCGTAGCGACCAAACGGCTCGAGGAAGGTGCCGATGTTGGAGCCGTTGTATGGAGGAACAAATGTTCCATTTGGTAGACTGTTGGTGGTGTTCGGGCTGGGGATAGGATCGTATTGGCGGCTCAAGTCGCAGTATTGCGTATAACTACCGTTACAGAAGTCCGGCCATAGACCATGGAGGGTCCATGTGTCGGTGGGCAAGAGTTGGCCTTCAGACTCGCGCCCGGTGTACGTGTTCCAGAATTGGGTGCTTAGCACAAGTCCACCAAAAGTCTCCACACAGCAGGAATCGACAATGGACGGGTCTTGCGAAGGGCAAGACAGCAATGGCTCTTGTAGCTGGCATGTGTGGTTCAGGGGACTTTGGTTGGGATAGAGCTGTGCATTTGTCGTGGTCGCAAGCAGAGCCGCAGCTCCGGCCTTTGAAAAAGTAGCCTTCATGTTATCTTGACTTTGGAGCTACAAGACGAATTGGAGAAGAGGTATACTGCGATGGGAAACTCGATGATGCTGGGAAGCCGGCCATCTATAAAGCTCCCAAAAATTTGGCCACGGCCTACCCAGGCCGCTGCAGCCCCAGTCGGTCCTTACCATATGCAGAAGGTACATTTCCCAGACTTCTGGTTAGAGCTCCGACGGCGGCGATGAGCGAAAGATTCACAGTACCTGCATGTAAGCTAGACGCGCTCACGTGTCGGTCCCATTGGTAGATAAGAGAACAAGGCTACGCATGCCGCGCCGTGGTGCTTGTACCCACTTGAGCAGTCTCCGAGGCCACGCACGATGGTGGAGGTGCGCGTTGAGATATGAGATTGGTGGGTAGAGTCAGCCACAATGACGGCTTCTGTTGGCCGATGCAGCAAGAGTTGGGAATTGCACATCGAAGGATGGCTGGGACAGAACGTGGGTGACAGGGTCTGGCTTGGTTGGACCTGCTCGATGACGCCCCACAACCAAAGGCGCATCCAACGCGACGGCTGCATCGACATTGCTCAAAGGACAGTGAAAGCGTCAGTAGACGACCTGAAGGCTTCTCAGCGCTGCCGTACATGCTCGAAACCCCATCAGCGCCTCCAACGGCATAACGGGCCAACTCGCGCTCCGGTGGGCGTTCGCTATCTCCGCCTCGTCATTGCATCAGCGACACGACACACAACCATGCGCGCCTACCTCAAGCCCTTCCTAACCTCGCGCCGTTTTTTAGGCACTAAAGGACAGCGAGAATGCCTCCCTCGTCCTCCATAACTGCGTTACCGCCACACAGGCCAGATGCCTACACCACAGGCCATCACATCGGCAAGCCACCCACAAGCTTCAAGAACCCATGGCCCTCGTACAAGAACGACGGCATAATCACCGCTGTCCGCGCGCGCTTCAACACCCCAAAGAACTTCGTCCCTGTGCCCGCCGATCGCCTAGGCCTGGTCCAAGTGCGCAAGCCCGACTTCAACAATACGACCAACGGCTTGAAGGCGACATGGATAGGACATGCGAGTTTCCTGATTGAGACAACGGCTTCAGAGGGGAACGAAAGGGGTATGCGCATCCTTCTCGACCCTGTATGGAGTGACCGCGTAGGACCATATGGCATGGTCGGCCCCGTGCGCTTTACACCTCCACCATGCACCATCGATGAGTTACCTGAAATCGATGCTGTTTGCATAAGCCACGACCACTATGACCACCTCGATTCTGACACGCTGAAGAAGTTGAATGCGAAGCAGAATGGAGACTTGCGCTTCTTCTGCGCTTTGGGCGTCAAGACCGTCCTAACAGGGCTCGGCGTAGGCATCAAGGCCGACCAAGTCGAGGAGATGGACTGGTGGGACGGCATAACAATGTTCAAAAAGGGTGTAGGAGGCGCTGAACTGATATGCACACCCGCCCAACATCGATCTGGGCGTACGCCGTGGAATTTCGACGGTACATTGTGGTGTAGCTGGATCATCAAAGAGCCTTCTTCGTCCGGTAAGAAAGTCTTCTTCGCCGGAGACACGGGGTATTGTCATGTTTTGTCTGACGACCAATACTCGCACCACAACGCGCCACATCCACCTTGTCCGGCTTTTAAAGAAATTGGCAATTTATACGGTCCCTTCGATCTGGCGCTTGTGCCTGTTGGTTGCTTTAAGCCAAGGTCTGTCTTGTCTGGTCAACACTCTAGTCCGCAGGACTCTTTGGCTATACATAGGGATGTCAAGAGTAAGAAGAGTATAGGCATGCACTTTGGTACGTTCCGTGGTGCATACTCGGCGAACTACGAACCGGTTACTGAGCCGCCTGAACGCTGGCGGAAGGGTGCAGAGGCGGACGGTTTAAGGTGGGGAGTCGATGTGGACCTCTGTGACATTGGCGGAACGGTCGTGGTATAGCAATGCGGGACTTGGTACGGTAACTATGTGCTTCTTCGAACTTCTCTTACTCGGATTTCTTAATATACCACCTTGTGCCCCTTGCGCTCATTTGGCCTAACCCACGAAATGGGTTCCACTACATTAAAGAGAGAAACTGAACATCTCTTCGGAGCAAAACACTATTGATATTATGGACGTGCTGGTGGTAAGACGCAGGCATAACGCTGTCGACTTACACTGTATTGTATCGCAGTAGAAGTGTGTTCCCAAACACTGCTTTGGCTTTACTATATGCAGCTGTATTACAGAGCAAAGTACTTATACCTGGTACAATAAAGCGTATTAAGAGCTTCTAGACATAGATAGAGAATCTAGAAGTCTACAATGCTATTGATCTTTCTAGAATTTGTTCTGAGAAGCTAACGTAGGCGGCAAACTAGGGCATGTTATTCCTATACCCGTTCAGGTATTCTATTGTATATGGTGGTTCTGTTCATGATGCATAGAATAGATGAAAGTGATTCGAAAAATGCATTATGTCTATCCTCATGACGGAGGAAAAGTACCATCATGATTACTCATACAAAGCCAGTAATACCTTCTAATGCATATACATAAACAACTCTCGACGGACCGCAAATGGCGCCGTCTAGTTGTATTGCATGTAGGCCACCTCTTAATTGTACTGAGCGTACACTGCAGTGCTGTTGAACTTCATGTTGGCTTTGATCACCTTGTCCACAGCAGCGAGAAAGTCCTTCTCGGTGGCAACCTTTCTGCGACTGCGGATGGCGAACATACCAGCCTCTGTAGCTACACTCCTCAACTCGGCACCTGTGCTGTTGGGACAGAGACGAGAGATGAGCTCCCAACGGATGTCACGCTCTACACTCATGCTCTTGGCGTGGATACGGAGAATGTTGGCACGACCTTCCATGTCGGGTAACGAGAACTCGATCTTTCGGTCAATACGTCCCGGACGCATGAGGGCAGGATCGAGGGTTGAAGGTCTGTTGGTCGCGAACATGACCTTGATGTTGCCGCGAGCGTCGAAACCATCAAGTTGTGTAATGAGTTCCAACATAGTACGCTGTACTTCGTTGTCGCCTCCAGCACCGTCGTCGAAACGAGCGCCACCAACGGCATCGATTTCATCGAAGAAGATAATACACGCCTTCTTTGTTCGCGCCATCTCAAACAGCTCGCGCACCATCCTCGCTCCCTCTCCAACATATTTCTGAACAAGCTCGGATCCGATGACTCGGATAAAGGTGGCGTCGGTTCGGTTGGCAACAGCTCGGGCGCAAAGCGTCTTTCCGGTTCCCGGGGGACCGTAGAGAAGAGCACCCTTGGGCGGGTCGATACCAAGGTTGACGAAGCGCTCTGGTGACAGCAGCGGCATCTCGACGACTTCTCGTAGCTTCTCAATCTGCTCTTTGCAACCTCCGACATCTCCATAAGTGACATCAGGCTTGTCCTCGACCGTCATCATAGTAACCGAAGGGTCGATCTTTGGCGGTAGGGGAAGCAGGATCTGGTATTTGTTCCGGTCGACACCTACCCGCATGCCCTCCTCGATATCGGTGGGTGAGACGCGTTCTCCGAGGTTGACGACGAACTTGGCGATCTGCTTGACGTTGATGACATATTTGCTCTTCTCTGAATCCTTCTCGTCCTGTATTATCTTGGTGCATCGTGCGACCTGAAGTGGTT